CTTCGTCAGCAGCCGACTTCTTAATCATCATAGCCTAAATTTTTTGATTTTTGTCATCTTTAGAAGCCATCGGAGAAAGAAATCAATGACAACTCTCATGAATAGTTGGAAATCCAGGTTCGTATCCTTAAGTTCATGTCTGTTTTATGATGTCTGCCGTCAATTTTGAGTAAACAAGAATAGTTATAATTTACACGTTTTTAAAACCTTTGAAAATCAATGAATTTTATCAAATGAAAAATAACCATGTGAATTAAATCCTTCCATTCGATGCCATCAAGGACGTGAACAATATTTAATCCATGATAATGCTATTGCAATTGTAGATAAAATCTCAATTTAGGGTTTATAGAGTGTTGTAATTGATTTTATTTCTCTAATTGAATGCGCATGTAGCCGTTTGATTTTATGAATCCAAAAAACATTATGATATTATAAGAGATTTTTTACTATATCAGTTTTTGTCATTTTCTAGAACAATAACCAACAATGGTCGATGCCATTATTTAATGACTAGAAAATCTTCTTTATATTTACCACACAAGTTGCATGAATGATTTACACAAACTTGTTATGAAACTGTTTACGTGGGAATTAAAATTTGTATTGCTTTCTAGTGATGGGAATTAAATTTTGTATTACTTTCTTAAGATGATTGTTGGACAAATTTAATTATAAGGACTTGATGATTATCGTATGATGTTAATGTGGGTGAAAAATCATTTTATTCTATGACTACTAAAGAGATTAAAAATCAATTCTCTTTTAATTTTAATTTATTAGTGGTTGAAAAACCTCAACCAAAAGATGATAAATAATAACAAGTCAGGTGATCTGAAATTGCATAAAAATGTGTTTCAGCATGTCATTTTTGTGAAAATTAATGGCTAAAAAATTTGTTACTTTTACGTTTTTAACAAATATGTTAGTTGCACATTCTATTAGAATATAAATAACATCAATCTCTAATTGGAACAATGATTATTAAAATTGAACATTACATTGTTTTATTTTGGTTTACATATTAAATGTTTCAACAAAATTCTTATGTTTCCGGCTAGAAGTTCTCATGCTTAAGCAAATTGTATTGTTTTTTTTGTGTGTGTACAGTAATGAAGCAAGGTTTAAAAAGGATATAAATTCTTATGAAGCTATAAATTCTGAAAGAAATAACATCAAGTAAAGAAAAAGAAGCTTGGTAAAGAATGGAAACTCGGTTTGAAGCTTAGTGAAGAATGGAAAGTAAGACAACAATATTCGTTCAAAATGGATTGACATTTTTTTATGTCAGAATGATTAGCAACAATATTCTATCTGAATGTATTAGTGTTTTACGTAGATTTCAATGTTTTTATTTGATTTTTAACCATTCTCAGTTTTATTCTTAAAGAACAAATGTAATTGTTAACCGTTATTACTTGTATTCTTTCAGAATGAATGTCATTTATGTATGTTCATAGTTGTATTTGTCAGTGGTGTAAAACTCGTCGAGTTGACTGATTACTCCCCGAGTACTCGCTACTCAGCCCCTTACCGAGGCGAGTTACAAAATCCCGAGTACTTCCCGATCGACCCCTTACTGAACTGAGCAATGTTGTAAAAGTCGGTCAACTCGGTGATTAAATATGTATAATATATTTAATGATTTATTATTTAACACACACACATGTGATTATTACTACATATATATCTTAAATTTTTTGTAATTATTCACAAAGTGAGACCATTATGTGTTTTTCAGTATTTGTCTATTCACATGTATCGAATTTTGTTATATATTTCAATCAACTTATGATTTTAACTTATGATTTTGACATATATAATTTCCCTAAGAATATTTCTACATGAATTATCAAATCCGAGTACTCCCTCCTAGGTAGTCGGCCGAACAGGTACCGAGTAACGAGTTTTACAACCTTGGTATTTGTTAAGAATGAATGTAATTACCGATTTTAAGATATTAAAATTCTTTTCATATAAAATTTGTATTCATTAAAAAGTATTAATCTTGATAATATATGTTTATAGTATTCTATCAAAATTTAATGTTTTTTCAAGATATACATAAACACATTCTTTTAGAATGTCCGAATTAATATATTTATTATCCAAAAAATCAGATTTTTAAAGTTTAGAGAATTAATTATTCCTTAAATCTGCAATTTTCCTTTTTTAAATTTATGTTAATTGATTAAAATACCCCTAGAATGAAATTAGATGATATTTTTTAATTATCTTTAATTTAATAATATGTATTAATCACATTCTTAAAATAAGTAAAATGATTGGCCCACAATCATTTCTACATCCACACAATAATTAGTTAGAATACAATAACTAAGCATATATATATATATATATATATATATATATATATATATATATATATATAGAGAGAGAGAGAGAGAGAGAGAGAGCTAGGTTGAAGTATTCTAACTAATTATTGTGTGAAGGTAGGAATAAATGTAGACCAATCAAATTTTAAAATAAAAATAAATAATTTATCCCCTTTTAATTACCACCGACAAGAAAGAGGGGTGAACAAAGTCAGTAACAAGTGGTGTGTTTGGCTTGTTGGGAAATCGATGAGAAGTAAGGAAAATGAGAGAGATTCGTTACCCTCTTGATTGCCGAAAACCTCCACCTCCGCTGGAGGTTTTCTCGACTAAACTTGATGAACAAGGAGGTAAAGTAAAAGTTAAAATCATAACAGTTCTATCAGAGGTGTTTTGTTGCTTTAATTGATAGAAAAAGAAGAAGGGATGAAAGGATGATGCCTCCTACTGTTCCCCGGAAAACTTCCTCCTGTGGTGTTTGTGTTTGGCTGAACACAGAAGAGAAATGGAGAGATGAGAGAGATTGAGCGAAAGAGGAATGCAAGGGAAGGTAAGAAGATTGATTGGATCTATTTGTGATCTTATTCCAGATCAGCTCGCGTAGTTTTTCAGGTTCAATTCCTCCAAATCTTATAAACATCGTTTTGCTTGCAGTTTCTTATCTAAAGTGTGATTTTTGGTTTATGCTAACTTGATAATCATGTATTTGCTTCTGGGTTAGGTTATTTTTAGTTGATGCTAACTTGATAATCATGTATTTGCTTCTAGGTTAGGTTTTTTAATGATCAAATTTTGTTGTTGCTAGTATGAAACCCGATTATTCAACTTAGATAAAGCACTAGAAACTAGTTATTACCACTTAGATAATCATACTGGATAAACACTGAATGACAGAAAATTTGAAGATGGATTTCCAAACTTATCAATACCTAATGCACTAGAAACTAGTTATTTTTGGTTTATTTTTTGTTTCTTTTTCATTGTTGATTGTTATTGTTTTATGTGGCAGATTATTTTGTCAGTTGGTATGTTGTGTATTCTATCAGAATGTCCATTATAAATGTATTCCATCAGTATGTGTTTATATGTATATAAATAGTTCGTTAGTTCTAATATTCTAATTACAAACAAATTGGTTCACTTATTCAGAATTCTTAAAGAAGATCAAGTCATGTGAATTTTTTCTATTATGGTTGGAATCAAATGAGCTTGCAAAAATAATTTTTCTAAAGTGTATTTTGGATTCGAAAAGAAGATCAAACGTATTTTGGATTCTGAAAGAAGATCAAGTGTATTCTCGATTCCGGTAGAAGATGAAGTCCTTACGAGAAGGAGATGATGATTCTTACTATAATTTCAAGAATATTCTAGTAATAATCAACAATTTCAGAATAAATGTAATTTATATTCATAGTTGTATTCTTTAAGAATGAAAGTAATAAATGATTTTAGTAGTATTGATAACATTAGAATAAAATGTTTTTTTTTCAAGATAACCATAATTACATTTTGTTTGAATGTTCGAACTAATACAATTATTATCCAAAAAAAATCAGGTTTTTAAGTTAAAAGAATTAGTTATTCCATAAAATCTGTATTTTTCATTTTTTAAATTTATGTTAGTTAACTAAAATACTTTTATTATGAAATTATATGTTATTTTTCAATTATCTTTAATTCAATCTTATGTATTAATCACTTTCTTAAAATAACTAAAATGATTGGTCCACAATCAATCCTACATCCACACAATAATTAGTTAGAATAGAATAACCTAAGCCTATATATATATATATATATATATATATATATATATATATATATATATATATATATATATATATATATAATTAATCATAGCCATTTATATTTTAAAATCAAAGGTCTAAATTTATCTTTCATTTTGTTATCATTTTTCGAATACTCAACCTAACCTATTTGTTGTTCTTGAAAAAAATTAAAATAAAATTAAAATATATATATATATTGTGATAAAAAAACGGTTGGCTAAAAAGATATCTATTTTATCATCTATTTAGGGGGTGTTTTTGCAAAAAAAAACGTATTGCTTATTAGCTTATTAGCTAATAAATAAATAATAGGTAATTTATGAAAAAATGACTTATTAGAGGTTTCCCATCGAAATAAATTATTTTTCATCCAATCATTTTTTTAACTTATAGCGGTGTGAGTCTCTAATAACTTAATAAGCTAATAATTTGTTTTTATCGATTGAAATTACAAGATTAAGAGGGTGTTTGGATAGATTAACTTATTGCTTATTAGCTTATTGCGGTGAGTATAAACAGTTTTTGCAAAAGTGTTTGTGGTGGGAATAAACAATAAATACGGGGGATGCTTATTAAAATCAGTTTATTTAGTTTATTCCTACCACAATAAACTGATTTTTAAGAATTGATATCCAAACACTTAAACTTAGCTTAGTGATGAAAATAAACAATAAAAAAACACCCTCTCAATACCATTACAAGACTAATAAGTTAAATTAGTACACTTCAAACTTCCAAGTCAAACCAACTTCCATGAGTCCTTTGAACGGGGATTTCATCACATGACCAACCCCCAGCCTACCCCACCCAACCCCCACCATTCTTTCAGGCTTCAGTACCTCCGACCCCATAAAAACCACCCACAAAGCCACCCCAAACCACCACCAAAATAATCAAACACACCCAAAAATGGTGATTGCAACAAACACAAGAGTCGAAAGCTTATCAAAAAGTGGGATTCATCAAATCCCAAAAGAATACATCCGACCACAAGATGAACTACCAACCATCACCAACATCTTACACGAAAATAACAACGACGACAAAGGGCCACAGCTCCCCACCATCGACTTAAACGACATAAACTCCGGCGACCCAAAAACCCTAGAAAACTGTAGCAACGAGCTGAGAAAAGCAGCAACCGAGTGGGGCGTCATGCATCTCGTCAACCATGGAATCTCCGACGACCTCATCGCTCGTGTCAAGGCTGCCGGCGAGAGTTTCTTCTCTCAGCCTGTAGAGGAGAAAGAAAAACATTGTAACGATATTGCTTCAGGGAAGATTCAAGGGTATGGAAGTAAATTGGCGAACAATGCATCGGGGCAACTCGAATGGGAAGACTACTTCTTTCACACTGTGTTTCCCGAGGATAAACGTGATTTGACCGTTTGGCCCTCCACGCCCACTGATTATATGTAAGTTAATTGGTATTAAAAGCTTTCATACCGTCTGAACAACATGCATCTCTAAAATATCAAAAGACAAAATGATATAACGTTTAGTTATTTCACAAAATTGCTGAATTTGACATGGTATTTTACGATAGAAAAAAGTATTAAAACGGCGAATTAGTTTTGCAAAAATAATAATAATAATAATAATAATAATAATAATAAAAACTTGATAAAAGTTCGTGCAATTGCTTTCTACACTCATGATTGGTTAAACTTTTGCGAAGATAGCATCGTTTTCATGAAATAATATTAACTTTTAGGAACAAATTAATTTCATTTTCATGAATGAGAAGGAATTGGTGCAGTTTTTGTCCTAAATTGTTTAGTAGTATATCTACACAGTATATTATATCGAATCGAATGTGGAAGTTAATATCAAGGGAAACATTCGATAAAAGTTTGTAAAAATATATAATAATAATAGGAAAACCTGATTTAGGATCGAGACATATCTTTAGAACTGATTTTAAGGTGTGTTTGGGAGTTAATCTTAGAAGTACTTTTGGGAAAAAATTTATTGGTTTGTCTTTTTTTTTTTAAATGAGTTTTTAAAAAGAGTTTGAATTTGTTTTTATGGTAAGAAAATGAGTTTTTTTTGGTAAGAAAATGAGTTTTTAAAAAGTGTGTGTGAGTTTTTAAAAAATGTTTTTTTAGGGGTAAAAATGGTGGGAAAAAACTAAAAAGGCAAAAAGCTATCAAAATACGAGGATTTTATGACTTTTTGAAACTCATTTATTTTGTCTACCTAAAAAGTTGCTTGAAAAACTTTTTTGAACAACTCAAACAATTTTTTTCAAGGTTTTGAAAACCGGACCGGAGACCGAACCGATCGTCTTACTGGTTCGATGGTTCAAGTGGTCCAACCGGTCTTAAAAACCGGAAAAACTGGATGATGTCATAATTATATTTAATTATATAAAAAATAAAAAAATAAAGATTTTTTAAAATTTCCGGTTTTACCGGTTCAACCGGACCGGTTTTTACCGGTTCACACGAATACCGGTTTTTTGGCCTTTAAAAACCAGATCTGGGACCGGTTCCCGGTCGAACCGGTCGGTCCGGTCCGGTTTTCAAAACATGGATTTTTTAGCTTGAAAAGCCAATAAACTAATAAACGAATTTGAAAAGCACTCCCAAACACACACTCCGTCTACTTTTAAACTTGTCATTAACTTGTTGGTATAAAGACTCGTGGACTGGTCTATGACTAGGACCGGTCCTAACTACTCTAGTCCTTTTAAGAATATTTATAGCTTGTTGCTTTTCATTTTTGGACTGTTTTTCCATCCATGCTACATTCTATGCATTAGTCTACATTAAAAAAAGTTCATATTTGACTTTTGACAAGAGAAATGGTTTACTTTTTTATTGAACAGACCCGCTACCACCGAGTATGCTAAGCAAATACGAGCACTCACCACCAAGATCCTCTCAGTGTTATCTCTCGGGTTAGGACTAGAGGCAGGGCGTCTAAAGGAGGAAGTCGGAGGGGCGGATGAGCTACTCCTTCAACTAAAAATCAACTATTACCCAAAATGCCCTCAACCCGAGCTAGCCCTCGGTGTCGAAGCTCACACTGACGTAAGTGCACTCACGTTCATACTCCACAACATGGTCCCCGGGCTTCAACTCTTTTATGGTGGTCAATGGGTCACTGCAAAATGCGTCCCCTATTCCATTATATTGCACATTGGTGACACCATTGAGATACTTAGTAATGGAAAGTACAAGAGTATTTTGCATAGAGCTCTTGTGAATAAGGAGAAAGTTAGGGTTTCTTGGGCGGTTTTCTGTGAACCGCCCAAGGATACGATTATACTGAAACCACTCCCGGAGACGGTTTCAGAGGCTGAGCCGCCACTCTTTCCGCCACGGACGTTTCAACAACATATGGAACATAAGTTGTTTAAGAAGAATAGTTGTGTAATCGATCCAAAATGATATTTTATGATTTGTATTTTTTTCGTCTATATTAATAAATTGTGCACTTATTTTCTATATAGACAAATGCATTGTATTACCCTATTTAAAGTCATTAGACTTAATTAAGTGGTTGTAAAACTTATATATGTTATCAATAACAATAATACATTATATAGTACAAGCAAATCTTCAAACCGAAGAGAAATGCAATAAATAATCGTTACAATATATCATGCACGCAATAACCGAAAATTTCAAGCTTCAAACATTGTATTTTTAAATTATCTTTTTTTTAAAAAAAAAAATTTATTATCTTCGTCTGCCAAAAGATAGAAGCTTTTTGAAACCACTAAGAGCTTTACTTGAAGTTTCGAAACTGCTCCATTTCTTCCTTGAATTGTTTCTTTCCGTGGTTTCTACCATAGAAATTTCATGATTCAATTTGAAATTAGGGTTTTCTTTAACACCATGATCCTCATCGATTTTGAAAGTAACAGTGTTTAAAGCTTTCTTGGATAATCCACCATTGTTGAGAGGAATAGCTTTATCTTCTTGAACAACTGAAGATGATGTTTTGATTGTTTTCTCCGATTGTGTAGATTCATGGTTTGGAGGTGTTATTGGCAATTGCTTGACATTGTTCACAATAGCAACCTTCTTTGGATCTTTTGAACTTTTTGAATCAATGGTTTTCGTTAACATTTTTGCAGGTTTTGATTCAACAAGTTTTTGTTCACTCGTCTTATTCATTGCCATTTTTGTAGGTTTTGATTCAAAATTCTTTTTGGTGACAACTTTTGCAGGTTTTGATTCAGAAATCTTTTTGGTGGCAGCTTTTGCAGGTTTTGATTCAGAAATCTTTTTGATGACAGCTTTTGCAGGTTTTGATTCAGGAATCTTTTTTCTGGGAAGTTTTGTAGGTTTTGATTCAGTAATCTTTTTGGTGGGAATTTTTGTAGGTTTTGATTCAGTAATCTTTTTGGTGGAAACTTTTATAGGTTTATAAACAGGTTTTGATTCAGTAGGTAATACTTTGGGATTAATTACACGTGCAGTTGAAAGGCGATTGATAGTGGAACTTTTAATGACCGGTTTATTTGACTTTTTCATATCTTGGGATGCAAGTTGACTTTTTGACTTATTAGTTGCAGAAGCACTTCTTGCAGATATTCTTTTTTGACGTTGAATTAGCAGTTCCTCCATTCTCTTTCTTTTCTCTTCTTCCTATGTTCAATAATATTAAAATTACAATTTTATGGGATCTAAAGAGAGAAAAAAAATAAATAAATAAAAGATTGAAACTTTTGAGTACCTTGTCTGATTTACCCTTTGCTATAGGTTTCTTGCTTCTTGAAATGACATCAGATTTGCTTTTTCTTTCAGATAAAGCTTTAGATTTGGTTTCAATGGTTGACCCTTTACCAGGCGTTGACTTTGTTGACTTCTTGTTCCCAACAGAATCTTGTTTTATGATCTTAACATCATTATTTCCCAATTCCATTTCTGGAGTCCAGGTTGGCATGGTTTGCTTGCCAGCTGTCTCTCTTTCAAGAACCATGTACAGATCATTAGGCTCATTGACATTTTTATTTCTCGAATATGAAGTTTTATGTGTCAAATTATCTGAAACCATTAGAATTTCTTGTGTTCTCAAATGGGTTTCTGATGATTTGTGTAAAGAATGATCTTGAATTGCTAAAGAATCATCAACAAGAACATCTTTTCTACTTTCTGTAGACTGGAAATTGTCTTCAAAGATGTCCTTGCTTTTTTCATGAACTGTTTTATCTGACAAACTTCCTGAAAACCAATCTCCTTCTTTATGTCTTCCAGATTGATTAATATTCTGTTCTTCAAATTTATTTGAAACAAATTCCTCAGACTCTTTGTCATCTGTATCCTTCATCAAAAGGTTCTGGAAGATATCCCATTGCTGAGTCACCTTTTCACCTTCACGTTTATCTTCAAATTCTAAATTCTCATCAGATTTATGTTCTGTTTCTAAACCTCTTTCAGAATTGATGTAATTAATATTTCTGATTACAATCTTTCTTGATGAACTCCTTGTTTCACTTTCAGAACTAGAGTCACTTGAGTGTGATTCTTTCTTTTGTGAAAGTTTCCCTCTACTTTTGAAATCTTGAAATGGTAGATTCTGTTGATAATATGGAGGGATGAGCATGGGTGGAAAAGGGTACCCTTGATATGGAAGATGAAACATGGGGTTGCCATGATAAGTATGGATATCAACAGCACTGTTCTGTTTCTTGGTGGAAAAATTACCATTTTGGACATTAACCCTAAGTTCTTGACTAGGATCATCTTCCTCAGGGAATAGGATTGCACCAGATGTTTCTATATAAGAGCTTTGTGAACAAGAGTATGCCTGCATTGCTGCCACCTCATCCATCCAGACTCTATCATTACTCTTTGTATTGCACAATTCCATGAAATTTAAGCATGCTTCCCTGATGAAATCAACATGATATTCAAACATACCTTATAAGAGACATATCTTAATGGATTCTTGAGTTGCTTAATGTGTGATGAAAACAGGTTTATACCTTAAACGAGGAGATCCAAAAGCATCAGAAAAAGAGATGAGATCTTCAAGGTTATTTGTCTCAAAACCTGCAACTAAAGCACGTGCATAAACCATTGCTTGCTCTTTTTGAAGTATTGCCTTTCTATTTTCAAGAACACGTTGAAGATGAACCCTAATAATTACAAGTAGATAAAAATATCAAACAAGGGTTGTTTTTGTACATTCCCTCCATCCAAAAAAAACTCCACCTTGAACATTAAAAATGAAAACTACAATGTTTGAACATAAAAAAGGAAAAGTTGGATTTTTTTTTGGATGAAGAGTGTGCATTCATGAATTAGGCTAAACACAAGTATACTTTACTTGGAATCTTCTTCATGGACAGCATCATCTGTGTTGCTTTCATGCTAAAAAGTGTTGAAAGTGGGAATCTATGAGTAATCTTCCATGGAAGTTTAGAAGAAAGATTGAATTGGTAGTAAAAGATGTAGAATGATAATACACCTTGTAGACAAGATTAGATGACTTGTTCAAGTGTTCCTCCAACCCATAGAGACCTGATAGACACATAATAAATGAGAAGAGTATGAGAATATACAATGCTTATGAGATAAAAACTTAAAACATCAATTTAGGTTGTGAATCTAAGGGGTTGTGTGGATACGTAGCAAAAATGCTATAGATTCTAATTTTCTAATACTTGAGGGCCAAAGTTATTGCAAAAAATATGATCTCTGAGAAAAAAAAAAGTATTTAAAGAATACGCACTTTGCGAGTCAGATGGTGTGTTGGTGTTTAGTGATAATTCGATGTTTGCAATCTCTCTCTCAATGGTGATAGATCTTTCAAGAACCTCTGGTGTACTTACAAACCTCACAAATCTAAGCAAATGAACACAAGAAAGACAGATGTTGAGTTAAAAAAACAAGCACTACAAAGAGATTAACTACTAAAAAGTGCTAAAATCCAAATATTGCAACAAGAGACCTTTCAAGAGTGGATTTGGTGAACCAAGGAGCAGAAGCAGAAAGGGTAATGGAGTAACCTCCTTTTGAAATCTGATCTTTGGCGAACTGGAGATGAGCAATAAAAGGTGACAATAGTCCAGATGCAAGTTTCTCTTTGCAATCACCAACACATATAACGAGATCACATCTAATCGCAAATCCAAATGTGGAAATAGAAAGAGAAAACTTAGCATTGGAAGAAATCAAAGTAGCAATTCACATTGGACAAGAAACATAACACAAAGCACGAACTGAAATCAGAATTAGAGTTAGGGTTAGGGTTAGGGTTTCGATACCTGGTCCTGGTAGGAGTTAGCTGGAACAGAGCATAGTCTAGCTGGCTCTTTGAATGAATTGAATCCATCCTCGTTCTATCAACCACTGGGTGATGATTCTGGAAGCTTTACGTGTGATTCAAAACCACACACATTATCTCTGTTCGTGTAAGAACCATGATCATATCAGAATTCGATGGAATGTCGATATCTACTTCTTCTTATCTTATGCACTGATTCCGATGATGACAGATTACTTACCGTATTTCTGTGTCGAGTATGAGAGAGATCACTTGATATTTACTCTTGGGCCATTGTTGGTGCTTTGAAGCATTGTGATTGGGAGCAATGAATGTAGCACCACCAACCACCTCAACCGCCATTGTTACACGTGGAATCTAAAATCAACTTAAATAGAACTCTTTTATCAATGGAAGATAGACAATTTAGACCTATTCTGTCGAGCTCTCAAATTAGGCTTGAATTTCTCGTTAGAAAGTACTTTGTGTCGTGGTACTTAAATTATACTTCAATTACACAGGCTTTTGAAAATTAGTTACTACTTAAAAAACCTTTGTGATTGAAATTGAAAAATACCAAAGTAATTTTTATATTAATTAAAAAGAGCAATAACTATAAATCACATTAAATAAAAACTACATAAAATTTTATTCACATGCAATTCATTAATAGATTTCATATATATCATATAGTTCCAATAATAGTATATTTAATTTGTAACACTAAATCGGAAATTACGTTTTATTCACATTCAATTCACGAATATAAATAACAGTGATTATGTAATTAGTTCCAATATATTTGTATTTGTTGAATATAAATGACAATATGACAGTGATTTAACAGTGATTATATAGTTAGTCCCAATATATTTGTATTTGTTAATTGTATTTTTTTTATAGTTATAACTATTATAATTCTTTAACTTTTAAATTTTTAATAAATATCCTTCTTATGTATAATATTAAATTTGTAATTTGATATAAAACTCTTATTTAAAAAATAATAACAACTACTTAGTTAATTTTTAACAACATAGTTATAAATATAATTCTAATATCATTTTATTTTATTATTTAATATAAGGTTTAAACATTCATCTAGTTATATATAAAAGACTAAATTGCAAAAATGGTCATTGTATTTAGTCCAAAATATTTTTGTCACACCCCCGAACCAGACGACAGAAACGTCCGGGGGTTTGGGTGACTTCATTTTGTAATATCATCACAATATATATAATTGAATCAAAGACAACATCATCATCATCACACATGAAATACAACAACCATCATAGTTTACATAAGTGTGTGTTGGGTTACAAATTTCATTCCAAATGTTAAATGTATGTTGATAACAAAAATACAATAAAAATCAACGTGTTCTTGATGACCAACCTGCTTAACGAGTCCCTGAGAATATAAATTATTTTGAAAACGTCAACATATATAATGTTGGTGAGTTCATAAGCATGTTTGTATGAAAAGTTTTGTATCTTTTGTACACACCAGACAATCCGACATTTTCCGTAAAAATGGTTTGAGTGTTCTGTTTCAAATCTTGTATTATAGCATGTGTGTTCATATTTTGAAAATGTATAAAGAGAGAGTTCCAGAAAATCCTATATTTTCTGTTGTAAGTAAAATGTAAGGTATAGTGTTTGTTTCCCAGCAAATCCGATATTTTCTGTCTGTAAAAGAGTTGTAGTCTTTAAACCATAAGACCCGAGTGTCATAGAAATGAATAGCTCGTACGTGTATCAAAAGAATAGTATATGTATTCCGTAAATTTATTGTGTTGTTAAACTCTATGTGAGTCGTTATAACCATACTTGATGTGACTGTTATGCCTGTCATGACGTTTTTCAGGCGTCGCTTGTTTAAGGTAAGACATTTGTCACCCTAGACTGGCCTACTCTAGCTGTAGCGAATAGCTCAGGTGTGGGGCTGTCAACCCCGTATAGATCTATACAAAAACTCTCGCTCTCCCTACAGGAGACTCTAGTTATAACTACAGGACTTAAGGTTGTACACTAGGTAGGTACGGGTGGAAATGTGTCTCACAGGAGCCTTAACTAAATTTACGCGAACAGTGTATCACATTATTTACCGCTTTAAAATAATGTTTCGAGTATGCACTTGATTACAAAACATTGGTGATGAAAATACCATTTGTTTTTTTGTATTTATCAAAGAGTCAAGTATTGTTTATTATTAGCCCGATTAACATAAAATGTGTCGTGAGGCCTAATAAGAAAATCAATGGGCCTATAAGGCCCAATAAACATGAAATGAGTATGTGAAGCCCAATAAACATGTATTTGAGTATAACAGGCCCAATAAGCATGTAATGAGTATAACAAGCCCAATAAGCATGTTATGGGTGTGTCAAGCCCAATTCGAGTAAAAATGTCGTAAAGAGCCCATTTATTATGAAAATGATCGTTTTAGTCCGATTTGTGCTAAAAATGACATAAACGACCCACTTTTCTTAGAAATGACCTTTTTGGCCCAAGTAATCGAAAATTTTTCAATAAAGGCCCATTTTTGTCAAAATTTAATAAATTGGCCCACTAAAGCCAAAAATTTACAATAAAGACCCATTTTCATTTCAAATGAGATTCTAGGCCCAATAAAACCGAAAGTTTGTAAATAAGACCCATTTTGATAAAAAATGACATTTTAAGTCCATTAAGGCCAAAAATTTACATTTTAAGCCCATGAAACCGTGAATTTCCAAATAAGGCCCATTTTATGAAAAATGACCATTTTAGCCCATTAAAACCGTGAAGGCCCAAAAGAAGCCCATTTTGTCAAAAATCACACTTTTGACCCCTACAAAACCGTGAATGTCATAAAAACTCATTTTTATCCAAAAATGACTCTTTTGTTCCTCTCAAAACCGTGAGTTATCATAAAAGGCCCACTTTTGGTTTTTTTTTTTGTCAAAAATGGCCCTTTTGCATTATTTCTTTGTTTTTCTAGTAACTTTTGCATGTTAAGACTTTTCAATCATTATGTAGAGTCACTTCAAATATCTTAGTTTACTAAAATCAACATGATTTGGTAGGTATTTCGAGTTTTTTGAAAGTTTGACAAGCATTCATGACATATTCACACCATATAACATGAAAATACACACATACATGCATAAATACTTAGATCTATCACAAAACCAACTTGTATTCTCCCCCAAAACATAGCAAAACCGAAAACAAGGGGGTATGAAGCTCACCTTGATGTTGGTTGAGTTTTGAAGAGAAGATTGAAGGTGTTTTCGGCCTAGCAAGCTCCTTTAGGAAGAGTTTCAAAATTGGGAGGGTTCTAAGAAGTATATACACAAAGGAGGTGATTATGAGAGATAAATCTTAAGTTAAAGAGAAAGTGAAACTTGGATGATGATGTTAACTTACCAACCTTAATGATTCTTGATGTAGAAGCCTTGAACTCACACAAACCACACGATTTTTGGAGAAAAAGAAAAGATGTTCTTTGTGTTCTAGAGAGAAATTGAGGTTGAAATTTAGATGAAGTGAGGGTGGTGGGTGCTCTCGGCCGAGAATAAGAATAAGAGAGGGAAAGGCTTTACCTTGATATATGGGGGGTAATCTTGTATGCCTAGATACATGGAAGACAATGCATGGATGTTCCATGTAATTATGAGGTGTCACTTACTCCTTAATCCTACATTAATCCTTTCTTTTTTTTTTTGAAACCGAGAATAAGAGGTGAGGGAAGGAAAGAAAGAATAAACGTTGGGCTTACATTGGATAGCACCCGAAAGTATGTGGCCCAACAAGAAAATTTTCGGCCCATTAGGCCCACATATGTGTTTACGGCCCAAAATGATAAAAGGAATGGTTTTTCGGCCCATATCATTAAAGGATGAGTCTTATGGCCCAAAATCCTATTGCTTATTGAATGTGGGTCCAACTAGGGCCCAAATGAGGTTTCTTAGCCCAAAAGAATCAAGTTGAGGGTTTATTGGTCCATTAGGCCCAATAAGAGGATCCTGGTCCAATAAAAGTTTGAACCGGGAAGTTAGGGTTTCAAACCCAAAGTTGAGTGAATGTAGTGCATTGAATTAGGTTTAGGGCTTGCATAAATGAGTTTTGATTCGAATTGTTGTTTTTGAATGAGTAACATGTATAACATAATACTTAGGGTTACAAGATACATCAGAAGTAATTACACATGGACATAATTTCGTAGCCCAAAATGTTAGTTGTGAAAGTTTTTGGCCTAGCCTCATTAATCCAAAATAGATTTGGTTCTAAAAACTTTGAAATGATTTAAAATGACAGATTTGTCTTTTTTATTTTTATTATTTTTTGCAGATATTAAAAAAACAAAAATAAAATTTTCTCTCTCTCTCTCTCTCTCTCTCTCTCTCTCTCTCTATATATATATATATATATATATATATATATATATATATATATATATATATATATATATCAAGTTTGCCCTTTTTATTTGTACATATACCTTAACATGCATATTTATAAAAACATATTTTTGAAAAAGCTATAGAAAACTCCTATTAGGCTCCCTATACCGTTTTTGGTTGTATCCTGATAAACCGGCTAGGGAGTTGTGTCATGTTTTTCATGACCACTGTTCCACAAAAGCTCTACATAGCTCCACATAAGCTTTACCATGACAAGAAAAAGAGAGGAAGTGGTGCCATGACATTGAAAAAGAGATAGAAGAGAAAGATAAAAAAAATGGATTTAATACATATATACATGCCCATGGCATTTAAATATCCTCAAATGTCAGAGATGAGCCAGAAGAGACCTTTATCGATATTATAAGTTATTTATTTATATATATAATAAAAAAATTGGGTTCTAAAAAAAATTAAATCCTGTACAGCTGCCCACTTTTCCTTCCTCCCCTCCCCCACCCCCACCAACCCCCATGTACATGCCTCTCTCTCTCACACACACACCGTTTGACCTCCATATATACTCGGACACCATGGTGGGACGATGAGCGCCTACCATGTTATTGTGCATGCTAAACCCGCTACCTATAGTCTTATTTATATTATTGGGCCTGAGGGAATGATGTCATGCTTGTCATACTCACCTGAGCTCCACATAAGATATCTTGAATTACCATGGCAAGGAAAAGAGAGGATTGATGATATGTCAATTTAGAAAGAAATGAAGAAGAGAGAGCAGAATAATAGGATTAATACACGCGCATACATTTTTCTCTCTTTTCAATAATGCCGAGAACGCATGATTTACAGAACATGTCACGGGACAATATAACCACAACATGTTCAGCTCCATGTAAACCTTGCCTATTAATTTTCCCACCCACTCCCCATAGTCTTAACATTACTCTTTCTATCCAGTGGCGGATGCTAAGAGGAGCTAGGGGGCCATGACCCCCCTGGTTTTAAGGTTTCTTGTACCTTGTATATATCGTTTTTCATAAAATAAATCCAATAATTTTCATATTTGCTACTTTGGCCTCCCTGATTTGATTACATTTAATAAAATTTATTAATCAACGGATAAAACCATTCACTGATAAATAGAAGGATAAAATCATTCACCGATAAATAGGAAAAAATCATTGATAAAATAAACTAATTGATAGAATCAAAATAAGCAGTATAACATTAGGAAAGTAATTAAATTAAGAAATTATCTCTAAAATCTATAAAACAAAATTAAAGTTCTAATCAAAGGTACAAATTCTACAACTCAAATTTTGAGTTTAAGAAAACAATAAACACCTAGAAATTTCGAAGCCCAAATCGTCTAAATCTCACCGGGAATAACGTTGTCGCTCCTCACCCAACTACATGTCCACAACCGCTCTCTATCGCTGCTCACCCTACCACCGCTTTTCTGTCGTCGCCAGACTGCTGCTTTTGTGCCTCGATTTCTTTTCTCTTACTTGCGCTGTGCACGCTGCCGACAACAACCCTTCCTCTCCGATCTGCTCTCATCTAGAGTAATTTACCGGTACTTTTCTCTCTTTCTCTCTCTAACTCACCAAGACACTTTCTTTTTCTTTTTGTGCGTCAGTTTAGACTTGATAATGAAAGGGGACGGTGGAGTAAGAAAAAAATAAAGGATATAGTACAATACTTTACCTAACAAAATATTTACCTTATCAATGATCAATTTTTAATTTAATAATGTTATTTTTTGTTTGTGTACTATGTAAATACAATATATAAACAATAGAATACTTATTAATAGAATGAATATATTTATGGGTTAGTATGTAATGAGATTAAATAAAATGACAATATATAATTATTTAGTTTTGATATAATCATGAAAACATCAATAATTTTTATTTTTATAAAATGTATGTAAACGTTAGCCATAATATATTTACATTTTGAAAGGGAACTTACCAAAAAAAATTAATCTAATGATGTAAAAATATTTGTTAATAGTTTTCTTGTTTCGTATTTGATGTCATAGTTTTAAACCTTTTTTTTTTCCATATGATTTTGTTTTGAAATTTTAATCTCGGCCCCTCTAGTTGTAATTCTTGTGTTACGCCCCTGTTTCTATCGTAACATATGACATCCGTTGTTAAACATGCGATACGTGCCTGGTTTAAGTTAGCTGCAACCGGTTTAACTTATAAAGGATGCATTGGTTTGGGTTTGGTGGGTTACGTATCCCTTTTCACTGGGTGCTTCATTTATTTACTTTTATTTTTGCAATTAATTTGTTCATAGAAAAAATGGAAGTTCTTTCGAATCATTTTTAAAATTAATTTTATGAACTTTATATTTTAAAAGAACATATGTGCACTTATTACTGGTTCACTCAATACTAATATTATGCATTTTATTATTATACTCTTATATTAATTTTAAAAATATTTACTCAAAATGAAGCTCGAATAAAAAGTACATTTACTTGCAGACAATTAACACTAACGATGATGATAATAATAATAATAATAATAATAATAATAATAATAATAATAATAATAAATCATTATTAATAATGAGCAAATTAATTTTAATTATTATTTGCTCTTGTTTTAAAGTAAAAAATATTTGATGTTTCTTACTTTTATACAAATGAATTGGGCTAGGAGGGAGAATGATAGTGACCGAAGTAAACATGTCACTGGAATTGAATGATAGCGACCGAAGCAAACATGGAATTGGCCTTGAAATTGAATGGGTTGAACATTAGTCCATTAGATATAACTACATGGTAAAAAACCATGTGAAGGCACTTCTATCTTGTGAAAAAAACCACTTCCTTGTGACTCACTTTATTCTTCAAATTTCCTTTTATACCCCCATATTTCACCAATTTACACACACAATTAGCAAAAATGAACCATTTATTCTCTTCTGTACTCCTGGCATCCTGTCTTCTTCTCATGGGTAACCTTTCATTCCTTTCAATTCTTTATGTCATCATTCCCATCTTTGTTTATGACATGTCGCTCTCTTTTTCATCTTAAAGGGTTCAAAGTCACAATTGTACTATAAAAGTAGCATAAGGAAGTAAGCAAGTGAAATATTTTGGTTCACCAAATGCGTATTTTGTGAATAAAAATTTCAGCACCTTACATTCTTTAGTATCTTTTTTTTTTTTTTTTTTTTTTTTTTAACCCGATGATGTTTTTTTTTTGAACATCTCAAATAGTTTATTACCATTTATGATATTAGCCCTTTATCTTATGTTACTTATCTTTATAGGTCATGGTGATGCGATATACATAGTCAAACATAGAGCAGATACACTACAAATCGCGGGTTCAAGATTGCCAGACTGTCTACATGCATGCGGTTCATGTTCGCCCTGCCATTTGGTTAGGGTGCGGTTCATTTGTTCCGTGGGACCCGCCGAGGCCGAGACTTGTCCAATTGCTTACAAGTGCATGTGTAGCAACAAAACCTATCATGTTCCATAGTCAACAAGACACACTACTCATATGATACAACAAACCAATCAAATATCTTGTAATACGTATGCAAATTATAAAAAAGTTTGAATATTTTATGAATCTTGGATTTCTAGTGCCCGGGTATTGTTTTTCAAGAAATCTTGGTACCACTTTGCAGACAATTTTGGGATACGATTGAGTGTTTGATGATCAACGTAGTATAATCCGAATCTTGGAGTGTACCCAAGTCTCCATTCAAAATCATCCATTAATGTCCACACAAAATAGCCTCTTACATCCGCTCCATCCCTGTCAAAACACCATTTTTTCTTTTAATTATTCGACCATGCAAAACAATTTATGTATGGGTGTTCGTTTTTGACTTAATTAATGCAGAAAGAACAACTTAATAGAGAAAGTCGAATACATGAGATTGTAAGATATACCCCACACAATCCTAGGAATTAATTTTTTTAAAAAATTTTGTGTGTCATCATTTTCTCAAATATTTTTTTAAACATCATTTATCTAGGTATCAATTTATCTATATAGAAAATGCTAAGACCTAAATATATAATCACCTTATCGCTTGGGCCAAAGACGACATGTACATTTTATGAAATTCTATTCGATCGAAGTCTTGAAGTATATTTTGAACTTGATCATTAACTTTCGGATCAGAATACCCTGCATAAATTTAACTTCAAAATTGAACGTATTCTTGCTGTGTAATTTAGCAACAAAATCCATATCTATACTGAAGTATATTTTGTAACAATTAGGATTGACCAAATCCAAAAAGTCAAAATTCCTAAATTTGCATACCGTTTTCAGTAACAAACATGGGTTTGTTGTGATATCTCTTCTTTAGATAGTCTATCACTTCCCCAATGCCTCTTGGAACTACACGCAATGATCCCAATCCTGTCTGCCAAACACAACTAATTAAACAATGAAACAAACAAAAAAAAACAATAGTAAACGAGGGGCAAAACGGGTATTTCACACATATCATACATACCGGCGCACCAATCGGAATACCATCTCTCTCTTTACTTGCATCCACAAAACCTTGGATTGCTCGACTTCCGGTTAAACTACAAATAGAATGAATACAATCTTTTGCATATAGAGTAGCGTAGTGGTTGACTCCTATAAAGTCAATTCCATCTTTCATAAACTTCCTTTCGTCACTAGAAAATCTTGGAAGTTGATCTCCAAGATACTTGCGCATTTCAGATGGATAATCACCTAAAAATAGTGGATCCAATGCCCTAATAATAACAAGTTAAAGAAAAAAAGAATCTTGATTTGATCTTCAAAGTTAAGTGCGTATACGGATATATATACCAGCCGATATTGAAAGCCAAGATCCTGTTAGCGGCTTCTTGATCAAAATCATTATCTGTTAGAGGCTCATACATGAAACAATCTACAACAATCCCGATTGATCCACCTTGTTCATGCTGCATGTATGTTAATCTAGTCAAAGGATGTTCGTCATGCAAGAAAAAAGTCAACTTTAAGTTAACAAAAATTACAAATATTCATAACAATAGAATGAAAAAGATACAAACTTTCACAACAATGGAAAAAAAAATTGAAAGTTTAGTGGTTAAACAAACCTGTGTGAAAAAAAAAATTAGGTAACTAGGTGGAACAAATTTGAAACATGGTCGCTATTGATATATAGAATTTACCTGATAATCTCTTCGGTATAGCTTCACTGTTTTTCCATGTGCCAATAACATGTTATGCATTACAATTAAAGGCTCAATATCGGAATTTCCAGATGAACAATTGCCAAAAGGTGGTGAACAACGAGAGGGTGGATACGTTCCTTTCTCATACCCCATTTGTGTAAACAAATTTGGCTCATTCATAGTGAACCAATCCTTCACTCGATCACCAAAGTTCTTGAAACATGTTTCTGCAAAGTGCACATAATCTTTCCTACAATAGATTATATATTTTATGAAAGTAATTTAGCGTTTATTTTAATCGAATAGAAGATCGGATTCTTTTTCACATACTGCATTAACGGGCTGAGCCAAGACCCGTATCGATCTTCAAGTACTTGGGGGAAGTCGTAATGGTAAATTATTACAAATGGTCTAATTCCTGTTTTAGTTGAAAATTTATGTGTTAAAGTATGTAATTTTCATGAAGAATTGAAATAAAAGGAGTTAAAAGTTTAGCGTTTTACCTCTGAGTAAGAGATTGTCCAAGATTTTGTTATAGAACATAATCCCATTTGGATTAACATCCCCAAATCTTCCTCCTGATATAACTCAACAAGATCTTCTATCAAGAAATGGAAGTTCTTAATCCTTTTTTATGAGAAATGTTGAATTTTAATCATACTTGGAAGAACTCTTGACCATGATATAGAGAAGCGGTAAGCATCTACACCAAGTGACTGTATTATGTTAATATCTTCCTGCAACAATCGATTGATTAGAAATAAGATTAGAAGAGATGTGAAAGTTATATGTTGTTATCCATCGTCAAAAGTTTAAGATACCAGATATCGATGGTAATGATCATCAGCTATGAATCCATTGTCGCCATTTTCAATGTTGCCTAAACATTGCAACGTCATAGTTAACCTAATGTGATAATGTAAAGATGAATCAATTGAACACCCAATTGATTGATTTTGTTACCTGGGGAAAGAGCGAACACATCCCAATTGTTGAGACTTTTACCATCTTCAAGATATGCCCCTTCAATCTAGATGAAGTAATAGAAATTCATTGTTGAGTTTAGCTCACTCAGCTATCAGAAAACTGAAAGAGAAGAAACAGAGTAGAGAATACTTGGTAGGCTGAAGTAGCGACTCCAAACAGAAACCCATCTGGGAAATCTGATCTTTTTATGACTTCTTCATGAAATGATGTGTGAGTTTTTGAATCAACAAGGAAAAGACCCAAGAAGAAGCAGCAAGAACAGACCCATCTGGGAAATCCGATTCTCATATCGGTTTCTTTAATTGGAGCGAAGTCAGACCAGAGCACCCATAATGAAGATGTGCTCCAAGCGGTCCACAAATATGCGGTCCAAGTTTATGCATCGTTTGACATTAAAAAATTGAAAGTGATCCTAAGGTTAAGTGTTAACTCATGTTGAATTTTTGATGTTGAATTCATTTTAGTGTATTATTTTTGTTTAACTTCTCTGTTTTATGGATTTTTCTTTCGATTTTTTTTAATAAAGGGCACAAAAGATATATTTAATTTTATTTATTTATTATTATTTTTTAACACTTTTATTATTTTTTTTTCTAAACTGGAAATTGCATTATTTAGTTATGTTCAATGTTGACCATAGGATTACCCAATAACATTCGAGTTGACGTGTCAAGTGGGTGTCATGGTAGCCGTGTGGGCTCCTACATGGCATTAGTTGGATGTTTAAGAGACATCTCCTAAGTTTTCAAAATTCATCATCTTATTTTATTCTTTGATATCAACTCCCACGAATGTACGACTTCTTTAGGTCGATCAATTGGTTTAATGTCATAGACAAGTCATTAAAGAGTGAGTATTCATCCATATAGGAGGTGTTATTATGGATTATCACCTTGATTTTCAATCTCTTCGAGTGACAAAACTCTGCAGAAGATACTCCGCTTATAGGTATTACCCAAATGAGAAAGAAGATTGTGGATTATTTGAATGTTATGATAAATCACTTCCCAGTTCATGATACAAGGAAAAGTTTAACCAAATAAAGTCACAGATGAATCCATCAACGAATATTATTATTTATGTAGCTTCAAATGGAAATTCCTACTCAAGGTATGTTGTTTCTCAACAGGGCTATGATTTCCTTGTTTCCCTTTTTGATAATCCTCGTAAGGGTGCTAATTTTGTTGTTGTATAAGGGTTAAATAATTAGGTTAGTTGTGTATGTAGGCCATATATGGTCCAATTTTGACCTATTTTTGTTTGTAAGGTCCAATAATACCTATTTTGAGTGATAAAAAAATGGACGAATTTCATGGTGTTAATATTCCTTAATTTGTTTACTTATGAGAAATATGTCATGGTGTTATGATGTTAATGTGATAAGCGTGTTCGAATGTATTCAACTTTGACATGGTATGTAGAAAAGGATATTATAACATGTTATGCACATAATGGTAATACACTCTAAGACATTAAACACAAAAGGGTAATATACTTTGACAGGTTAAACAGAAAGGATAATCAACTTTGACATGGTATTCATAAAAGGTTAATCATCTTTCACACTTTAACATGGTATGTGAACTACGGTAATTATTGTGAGTAATTAAACTCTATTAAATGCGGTGACAAGGTTTGCAAATACAAACCTTGAATTAACCTTTAATGTCAATGGTTGCTAGTAATTAAAGTTCCAGTCAAGTCTGGTCAAACCAGTCAAGACTTGAAGTAAATAACTCAACAAAGTATTTAAGAAGATTAAAGTAAATAAAAGTATGAACAAAGTAAAATAATTAAGAACAGGAAGAATATATGAGAGAAGATTGACATAAATGAGAGAAGTGAAGGATTCTATTTGATGCTTAATAGATGTGTATTTCGGTACAAGGTTGACACTCATTTTATAGCCAAAGGATGCACAACAAGACAAATACATTGAACAAAGAGTCCGTGCAACAGTAATAAAATCCTGATAAAGTGGATTTTCTACCGACGGTAGGCTAAAACGGAGTACAACCAAAAGAACTTTCTTCTTGTCAGGGTAAGTTGACTTAGTTATGAATCTAAGGCATCTCAGAAATAGTCATCTCAGAGTCTTCATCTCTAAATCTTCACTATCTTTGAAACAATATGTCACAACTAGTAAATTAGGGTTAAGATTTTGGTCTTTGTGCGAAACAATTTTCCCCATGTAAACTAATAATAACCCATTTAGTGAGATTCAAACTTCAATGCTATTAAGATTCTATTTTCATACATTATCACTTAAGTCGAAACAACCTTAGATAAGCCCAAAACTCGATCAAATAAGCCTAATCCAATCATTTTTGGGCCTGAGCCCAAGAATTTTTAATCCAAATCCCTTGTTGGCCCAAGACATCTATATTGGGCCTATTGGGCCGATAATACTCCCTTTTGATCTTGTGGGCCGAAAACTCTTTTGGGCCATACCAAAAATCGGATTTGATCTTTTGGGCCAACCTTGGGCCAAATGCATCTCCAAACTAGGTTACCCCATTATAAAAAAAAGGGGGAAAGGATTGGATAATAAGCAATGCCACCTCATTTTTGTCTAGCATACCTCCAAGCCTTTAACCTCCATGTATCAAGGCATATATCCCATCAAACTCTAGCAAGGTCAAGCCTCTTCCCTCATCTCTCTTATAATCTCGGCCTACCCCCCCCCCCTCCATACACCTCACAACTTCATTTATTCCATCACTTAGCTTCAAGAAAACTCTCCTCCTTCATTTCTCTCAAAAATTCGTGGGTGGTGGTGCCATCCTCAAGATTTTCTTCAAGTATCATAACTTGGTAAGTCCATATTCATCTCTAGATGTTATATTTCAAGTCTATGCTAAGATCCTTCCTCTTACAACTTCATTTTCATGATTTTGGACCTTAGAACACCCATATTTTCAAGATCTCTCCAAGTTGTTCAAGCTAGACTTAAAGTTTCTTCTTCATCTCCTTCTACACTTAGAAAATCCCCAAGGTGAGCTTCATACCCCCTTGTTTTCGGTTTTATAATGTTTTTGGGGGAGGATACAAGTGCTTTTGTGTTAGATCTATGTATGCATGTTTATGTGTTTAACTTTTAGATCTTTACTTGAAATGAAGTTTATCACTTGGATCTTCATATAAAACTTGAGAAAAGTATGTGTCCTCACATATAATACTTGTAAACTTGTAGATCTGGGATTTATCCACTTAAAATAGCAAAAACAAGTGTTGTGAACAAACTTAAATAACTTAAACTCAAAAATCAGCCCTTGACAGAAAAGTTTTAGTCCAATCTCGAACTGTTTTGACTTCCTTAATGGTAATATTTTTCAAAACTGTTTTACATGCAAAAATTTCAGGTTATTACCTTTAAAATGACTACTCTCACGTTTTCATACGATTTTTCAACTATTTTTGGCGAATTTTACAAAACTGCCTATCATATTTGAAATAATTTCGGACCAACCTGTGAAGGTGAGCAATTTCACACTTGTTAGAGGTGAATAAAAATTATGAGAAAAATTGTGAACAAAGTAGACAAAATTTCCAAACTTCCAGAATTTACGGATCCAAATTTCGACTTACGATGACTTTTCTACAAAATTTCCAAAAACTAGGTCGGAAAAGCCCAAAACCAGAAAAATGTGTATTTTCACAAAAATCAAGCCAAAAATGATATTTTTGACAAAAATGAGTTTAAAATGTTATTTTTACCACAAACTAGTCAAAAACACAAGTTTTGAACAAAATGGGGGCTAAAGTGTTATTTTTACTATAACTGGGCCTTAATTGAAAACTTTATGGCTTATTGGGCCAAGAACGTCATTTTTACAAAAAGTGGGCTTTTTATATCAATTTTGTAAATAAGCGAGCTAAAATAAACAAAACAATAACAAACGGGTTAAAAACGATTTTCTTATCCTTACTGGCCTGGAAATGGTATACATGTTTAGTGGGCCTTAGTGTCATTTTACATGTTTATTGGGCTCAGGGTAGACATTCACATTCTTTTTGTGCCTGGAAATAATAGATACGTATAGTGGGCCTTAGTTGTCCACTTACATGTTTATTGGGCCTGAGAATGAGTTTTATATGTGTTCTTTTTTCTTTTCCGTGTAAATTTTTGATTAAGGATCTAGTGAGACCTGTCGGTTGGCACTTTTGAGTGTACAATCGTAGCCTGTAGTTATAACCAGAGTTTCCTGAAGGGAAAGCGGGAGTTTGTGTATAGATCTATACGGGGGTGACACCCCACACCTAAGTTGTTCGCTACAGTTAGACTAGGCCAGTCTAGGGTGACAGAAACCTTATTCTATTCCGGCGGCGTCCCAAAGACGCAAAGACAGGCGAAATTGTCATTATTATGTATGGTTATAGCGACTCACTTAGAGGAATTAACGTTATAAGATTTACGGGAAACTATTCTATTTTCTTTTTTGGGATAAAACAGGAAACCATTCTATTTTCTTTTTGGGATAAAACAGGAAATCATTCTATTTTCTTTTTGGGATAAAACGGGAAACCTTCTTTTTGATAAAACGACAATCTATAAGCATCGGTACTCAACCACCGGGGTTGAGATTTCAGCATTATCTATTGCAGACAACATCGGGTTGTCTGGAAATCATTCTCTTTCTATTTTTGTAACCATTAACACACATGCATTAATATAAGATCGGACACAAATATTTCAAACCATTTCTTTTTAGAAAGTATCAGATATTTTTGAAAGCACTTTGAAAACGATTCTAAACAAGTACAAAAACCATTTTTATTCAAAACTGCTTATGAACTCACCAACTTTTTAGTTGACGCTTTTCAAAACGACTTGTATTCTCAGGAATTCCAGTAGCAGGTAATAAGTTCGACTATAAGATCAAGTGGTGCGACTTCAAGAAATTTTACTTTCTTACTTTTGTGTAACTGATGAACAAGATTCAATATGTAAACTATGTAAGTGTGTATTTCCAATGTATGATGTTTGGTTTGATATGTTTCATTCATATTCAATTGTTATGATACTGTACACGAGTCGTCCACCCCCGGACGTTTCCGCCGTCCAGGTTCGGGGGTGTGACAGGTTGGTATCAGAGCATTGTTTTTAGTGAACTAATATATCTAACCATACAATATATACAACTATAAATACAATGGGACTAAAAACACTCTGACTAAAAGTACACCTTAAAAATATAAGTATCTTCTAAAAGTATACATACTTGCTAGAACTGTATCATAATAAGAACAAAACAAAAGTATTTAAATGTTGAACACTACAGCCAAACCTAGGCAGTTATGTAATCATATTTGGAATAAATAGAGCCTGATCAACTGTATTTATTCGAGATATGACCAACATGTGTTTGGGAGTGAT